ATATATATATATATATATATATATATATATATATATATATATATATATATATATATATATATATATATATATATATATATATATATATATATATACAGAGCCGGATTTACAGGCAGGCCAAATAGGTCATGGCCTAGAAGCCCCGCAAAAAAAAGGGGCCCCAAAATCGAATTGCAACAAAATTAAATTTTAATTTTTGGAAAGTGCATACATTTTCATTTTTACATTTTTATTTTTCTCCTTACTTTCGTGATTAAAAAAAATACAATATATTTAGACAAAAGTTAAACAAAAAACATTTTTAAACATTTATATATATATATATATATATATATATATATATATATATATATATATATATATATATATATATATATATATATATATATATATATATATATATATATATATATATATATATATATATATATGTATATGTATATAATTATAAAAGTTAGATTTTTTTTCATGACTGGAATTAGAAATTTAGTTTAGTAAATTTTTTTTATCTATTTTTGGGAACCAAATTTTAATCCATGATTTGGTAATAATTACAAATTTTTCAAGCAAACATTGCATATACTTTTTAAAAATATTGTTATAGGCAAGTGCAGTTTTTAGAATAAACCAGTTTAAATCAAATTTATTTTTTTTTTCTTTTCAATTGCCAAATATATTTTGACAGCAGAGTCTCTTTGTTATTTTTTTTTTTTTTTTTTTAAAAGATTGTCTGTGTATGACGTAAGATTTTTTCCATTCGTTTTCGTTTAAGCCAATATATTCTTTATCAGGGTTATTTTGTGAAAAAACAATGTATTGTATATAATATTTTTTAATAAGCATTTTTCATTCATAGGACAATCAATTTATTGTTTGCAGTTACAATTTTTTGTTATTTTTCTTTAGGAAATTCATTTTTATTAATTAATGGAACATTGATACAACATCCTATATTTTTTGTACAGCCATAACTTTAATAATATTTTTATATGTGCAATAAATTATATAAGATACAAAACCTTCTCTCCAGCAAAAATGTTGCATCATTTTTGCTGTACAGTGGGTTCAACCAAAGTATATTACTATTTCGCTTTTAGTTAGCTAAGATTATCTGTATATTAGTTAATTAAGATTATCTGTAGATAATCTTAACTAACTTATCTGTTAGCTAACAAATTTATAGCAGCTATGAACTTCTATTTAATTTATAACTATTACTGCTAACTGCTAAATTAATTTATCTGTTTGCTAAAATACTAAAATGGTGATTCAAAATGAACATGTTAACTTCAATGCACTTACAGATCTCACTGATTTCACCTACCTAATTTATTTAAATCATTCAAATAAGTTGAATAAGTAAATCTGTGAGATCTCACAGGTTTACATATGTAACTTATTTGAATGGTCTTTCAGATTTTGCTTGTCTAATTTACTTGAATCATCTCACTGATTTCACTTGTCTCACTGCGCTTATTGGTTTCACTAATTTACTTGAATCATCTCACTGATTTCACTTGTCTCACTGCGCTTATTGGTTTCACTAATTTGACTGACATAATTTTCAAATTCTTTCTTTTTATTAAATAAACACTATAAAGACTATAAAATATAAAAATGTAAAACTATAAAATATAAAAAGCAAAAATTGTTTATACAAACTCTACAGCCAACCGGTTTTTTGGCTTGTTTGTTTATAGAACGATTGTGCAGTGTACTGAATGGTATTCCATGAGACCAAGATCTTTTATGAATTAAAATGTTGCGAACGTTTGAAAACCTAGTTATCGTTTATGCAAAAGTTGTTAAAAAAAAAAGTTATTCAATAGTCTGTACAAATCAACTTTGAACTTTAATGATCCCAGGAAAAAATATTCTATAGAAATTCTATAGAATTTCTATAGCCAAGGAAAAAATGTTTTAATGAATTTTTTATAAACTTTTGAAACATATAGCTTATAGAAATTCTATAGAATTTCTATAAAATTTCTATAGAATTTCTATTAATTTCTATAGAAATTGCTATAAAACTTTTTTTTCTATAGAAAAAAAAGTAGAAAAAAAAGTTCTATAGAAATTTCTATATAAATTAATTGAGATTCAATAAACATTCTATAGAATTCTATAAATATTCTATAGGCCATATGTTTCAAAAGTTTATAGAAAATTCTATATAACTTTTTTTTCTGGGATGTTGTACTATGTCTGACAAAAAAACACAAGTGTAACAGTTATTTAACGACAACTCTTTAAAACATACTGATTAATTGCTTCAATCATCAATCATTCAATGGTCCTCAGTTGAACATACTTAAAATGATTAAATCTGAAAAATATTAAGATTACTTTCTGAGATATCCATTGTAAGATCTTTTACTTTTTTGGCCCAAAACCGTGTTAAATTTCTCACAAATTTTCCCACTTTAAGATTGTTGTTGTAATAACATAACACCATCACCACCATCATCAACAACAACAACAACAGCTACAACAACATCAACAACAACAACAACAACAACAACAACAACAACAATAACAACAACAACAACAACACCAACAACAATAACATCACCAACAACAACAACCAAGGGCGGATCCATAGGGAAGATGATGAGGGCGATAAATACAACATAGGTTTAGAAATAATTTTTTTTTACAAATTTATATATTTAACAAAGTATGTTGTATGAAAATGAAAGTAAATTAGGGAGGCTGTTTGAAATTGGTAAAAAATTTTAATAAATTTGTGAGGTGCAAAAAAAATTGGACATCATTATGACGTAATTCATTGCTAAATAAATTTAAACATATTAAAACTAATATTCTATAAAAACTAACGAAAAAATTTTATGATTTAATCCTGAAATTTGCCCTAGTCATCTACTTTATTAGAGTCTGGATCCACCAAATCATGAAATTTTCTCCTTTTTTTTAGATGGCCTCAATCCACGTAATCAAAAAACCTAAAACTTGCCCCTCTCCCCCGTACTAGATGGTCTAGATCCGCCTCTGACACCAACAACAAAGTTTTTTTTATGTTTTTTATCTAGTTTAAAGTAAGAAAATTTATTCGAATAAAACCAGATGTAAACTTCTTTAAAAATCAATAATTTCAAATTTAGGAATATCAAAATTCCCTAACATATTAACATGTCAGATTTATGATTCGATTAATTTATAAAAACTAGTGCCCACCAGAGAAAATCTTAAAACTTATTACAATTTTGAACCATGTTGTTCTCTTTATAATTCATTATATTTAAGAATAGATTTTAATTCATTATATTTAAGAATAGATTTTAATTCATTATATTTAAGAATAGATTTTAGTTCATTATATTTAAGAATAGATTTTATCATAATTTAAACTTGTTTTTTAGTTTAAAAAAAAAAAGTTTTTTGTTTCTACTTAAGTGTATATTTTTGATAAGATATTTATTTTCATCAAGTTGCGTGCCCTTCTAACATGTACTTTTAAAACACTATTGACAAAAAAATATATGATGTAAAGCGAATTTAAAAAACTTTTTCCATATTTAAAAAAAAATAACTTTTAAAAAAATACTTCAAAGCATTAAAATTCAAAAGTTATATTGAAAATAGTTAAAATGATTATTATGAATAAAAAACAAAGCAACATAGTTTACTTTTAATAATTTTATAAAATATTAAAATTTGTTTTGTTTATGTAAACTTTTCCATTCATCGATATGAATTTAGACTCTTTTTGTTTATATTTTGCTCAATGTCATCATCTTTTGTTAGTTTACTTATAAATCTATGTTTTATAAACTTTTTATCTATTATGAAACTTAGCATAACTTACAAAAACTTTGGTTTTAAACAAGTAACTTTAGAGAATCTTGGTCATCTGTTGTGTAGCTTGTTCTTTTATTTGTAAATCATTATTTAAATGATTGAAATTATTCGACCTATGTAACTCTTATAGAGTACTGCAAGTTCTTTAAAGTTCTATTTATTTTCCTTTTTATTTGAATCTAAAGAAAATCTATTGTTTGTTTAAATCTAAAGAAATACTATTGTTTAAATTTAAAGAAATATAATATTTAGTACTCTGGATCATAAAATAATTAAGTTTGTATTAACAGCACAGCACAAAATTTTAATTCTTTTTTTCGAGCACTTCGAAATATATTAAATGAATCTTTTTATTTGATTAAATTTTTATTGTCATCATTAAACTATTTAAAAACACTTATTTCATGAATTTTTTATTTGCTATGTACCACTCTCCTTTATGAAATGGCATCTGTGCGGTCCATGCGTGGCTTTTATAGAGTACCGGAAAAAATCTGCGAGGATATTTTAAAGGATATTTATGCAACTATTGATTTTCGATATTGAATATTATATTTATTTTAAAAAAGCAAATATTAATATTCTTAAATTTCACTTACGTATGTTTATGAAGGTATGTACGCGAGAACGCACACACTTTGCGTTTTACACTCGATATTAGCTTTTGCTTGATCTTCGGCTGGACTTTCTTGGTAGCTCTAATCCATTTATTTTTGGAGTCTTGGGTGTTTTTAGCTTCTTTTACATTGAACCTTTGCTTTGACAATAACCCAATATCTTTCGAAAAAACGTAATTCGGGACAGTTTGGTGGATTGCAGTGTTTTTCAACAAAATCTGCTTTATGTTCTCTAAGCCAGTTAAAAGTTGTCCCAGAGTTGTAACATGATGGTAAATCGGTAAAACTGGCAATCCAAAATGACGAATTACCCGTTTGAGATTTCGAAAAACGCAAAAGATTCTTATTGAGGCATTTTTTGGTGCATATTTTGGTGTTAGTTGTTCCTGTAGTCACAAAACAAGAGCTTCTTTCACCACACCATATTCGCTTGCCAAACTAAGAGTTTTTTAGCGAGTTTTTGCATTCCAATGCATTTATATTTGGAATTCAGTTTTTTGCGATTAATTGCTGAATAATATCGGTGTGATGAAAAAGATCGAAAATATGCGGCACAATAAGTTTTATCATCAATATTCAAACAATTTTTTTTACCACATAATTTTTTATAGAGCAGCTTTGAACATGTATATATATCAAAATTAGGTTCTTTATTATCATTTTTTAACAGTTTGACCAAAATCTTTTTGAAACTCTGACTTTTTTAGACAGTTTTTACTACTCTTAATTTTTGTTGAGCAATACTTTTTTTTCAAAAGCAACAATTTAAAGTTCAACCCAGCGGGCATTTGTTTTTAAAAGTTACGTTCTAAATGTGTTTTAAATGTATTTTAAACGTCTTTTAAACATTCTTACGTAAAGAACGTTTAAAAGACGTTTAAAACACGTTTAAGAGACATTTAGAACGTAACTTTTAAAAACAAATCCCCGTAGGGGAGTTACAAATAAAATATGTAAACATATGATTTAGAACGTTACTTTTAAGTTTTAAAATTAAAATAGTTATGTGCGTTCCATATTTTTAGCTGTTAAAGAAATCCCATGGTTTTTAGCTGTTAAAGAAACCCATTAAAATAAAACACAAAATTGAAATTCTTAAATGCAATTACTTTGAACCCGAGGCTGCAGCAAACATTCCTGCTTCCAAAATACCGCGAATTGAAAGTTTTTTCAAGAATAACCATAAAATTCAGCCTAAAATTTTAAGTCGACTATCAGTTATTGATGGAATCAACTTTCACATTATCGCTAAAAATAAAACATTGAGATCAGCATTTCGTGCCCAAGGATACTAACATATTTGTTATTCGTTGGCCTTGGCCTTTTCTTTTTTTTTTTTTTTTTTCTTTATGTTGATTTTAGGTGGGAAGTCCTTACGGTCAAGAAGTCCTTACGGTCTTATCACAGAGCACCTCGGAAGAGCATTTAATAGGAAGTTCACGCCTCCTTCCCAACCGATGTCGCAAAACTTGCCCAGTAGTGGGATTTAAACCACGGATCTTACGTTTCTGAGACAAGCTGCTTATTTCTTAAGGTCAAAAATTAAGGCCTTTCTTTTAGTCTTGGCCTTGAAAATTTTGGTCATGGCCTTCAAAAAAAAATACATAAAATAAAAGAATAAAAAGTTTTCATTATTTTTATGTATTTTTGTTTTTGGCTTTCATATATATCAACAAGTATATTTTCTTATTGATTTTGTTAAATTCTGCGCTTGATTTTGTTAAATTCTATCAAGCTTGCCCTTTATTAAAAAGCGACTTTTAAAAAACTTAGTAATTTTTTCAGCATCCTTTACCTCCGCGTTGTCAGCCGTATTTGCAATACTCTTGACTAAAAGGTTCATCGTTTGAGCGACACAGTCTTAAACGGACATATGTGGAAATCTATTTTTAACCATTTTCCAAGCTGCTTTTATGACTGGTTCATTTTTAGCGATTAAGTAATTAAACTTTTTAGTTCCAGGTAATTTAATTACTTCGTTTACTGCACTTGCAAGTACTGATGCGGTTTGATTAATTCCGCTTGTGCTAATTGAGAATAGTCTCATTTTAATTGTTACTTAAAATTTGAGTAACTAAAAAGTATAGGATGCCTAATCTGTAAATATTTCAAATTTAACCAAAACGGACAAATAGAAAACAAAGAAATATCTTTAAGTATAAAAATTATATATATATAATATTATTATTATTATTATTATACATATATATATATATATATATATATATATATATATATATATATATATATATATATATATATATATATATATATATATATAAATATATATATATATATATATATATATATATATATATATATATATATATATATATATATATATATATATATATATATATATATATTATATATTGAATTGCAGGATGTCACTTTAAATTTTGAAAGTAAAAAAAATGTAATTCTGGTTCGAGGTGGAAATCCGGGTGGAATTTTATTAATAATTCCGTCAAATTCGGTTCAGGTCGGAATTCAAAGCTTCCAATCCGGTACACCCCTTGTATTTTGTTAAGGATATACTTACCGTTTTTAAGGACACACTAACCGTTATTTCAGTGGAACTTCAAAATACTTAGCAAAACATAATTTTAATTTTAATTTGAAATTCTCATTCGTTTTGTTGACAAGAATTTTTTTTTATTAACTATTATTTTTGATGTTTTGAATTTTTCATGTTTATTTAATTTGTATTTTGTCTTTATTTGAGACGGCAAGAATCATAACAATGTAGAGAGAACCCAACAAATTAAAAAAACAACAAGTTGCCAGTTTCCCTACATAAACTTACGCTTTATAACACTTACACCAGTCTAAAATTTAACAGAATGATGCTTTGTAACCATATTTTTTTTTTTTTTATGACTTACACCAGTATTGTCACCAGCTCATTTAATAACTGTTACTACAATTATTTACTTTCTAAAGAAAAGTAAAAATAAAATATTGAATTTTTTTCTTTCAATGAAAGCCTTGAGCGATGGCGCAGTAGTTTGAGTTCTGGCTCTAAACAAAAGAAGCGTGAACTTTCTAATTAAATACTCATCTGCAGTGCTCTGTGATAAGACCATAAGGATTTCTGGGAGCACTTTAACAACCACAAAAAAAAAAGTTGTTAAAAATTACATTTATATTAGTTATAACTTTTAATGTTCGAAACAAAATATTTTGTACAATAAGCACAAATATCCAAATCATATAGGGATGCCGAGGCGCAGTGGTAGCGCACTTGCCTCAGAAAATGGAACTGTGGTTCAAACCGCACCCCTGGGAAAGTTTTGCGACATCGGATGGGAAGGAGGCGTGAACTTCCTATTAAATGCTCATCCGCGGTGCTCTGTGATAAGACCGTAAGGACTTCTTGGGGCATCTAAATAGAAAAAGAAAGATATAGATATCTGCATAAATGGCGAGCTCTTTTTTTTTTAGTTTTAATAATTGTAAATATAAAATTGTTGATATTAAGTATTGATTTTTTTCAAGGTAATTTATTTAATTCTACTATCTTGAAAGTAATATTACTAACTCATTAAACTCTATGTTTTTGGATATTATTTTGTTATATCTATATATTATTTTGTTATATAAACCCCAGTGTGAAATATTTATTTATATATTGCGTTTACATATTTGCGCTTCTATGCGTTTTGACAATAAGATCTATAATTTTTATTGTATATAACATTAGGGATCTTCTTTAGATTTATATTTTCAATTTATAACACGATTTACTGCAGTCGCGCAATTAGGATTTCTGAAATGGGGTTTTCAATTTTATGAATCCTAGTTATTTACTTTGTGAAACCCAAAGCGCGGATATTTATACATTATATATTTACTTTTTTGGCATATATTCATTTCCATATTCATTTCAAAATATTTATATTATTTATACTTTATAGTTATTTTTTTTAAAGGTTGACTAAAATTTAGTTTTTTTAACAGTTTAAAAAGGAGTTTCCGGGTACCATGGAATTGCGCTACTGATTTACTGTAATTTTTGGTTCTTGATGTAAAATAGTTTTAAACTAGTAAAAGGTTCTAATGATAAGAAGATCGTGATCTTCTTTCATAAATCTTGTTTGTTTGTTTTTGTAAACAACTTCAAATGTAATAAAAAATATAATAAAAAAACTTTTTGAAAGCAACATTTTAAAAATTGACTAAAAAGTAAAAAATAAACTACTTCACGGGACCCAAGTGTACTGACAATGTGAAAATGTTGGGCGTTAATAGGATCGACTTGTACTTAGTTGCCCAACATTTTTAGTCATTAACTTTAATGGTATTTCAGATTGTGTACGTACACAAAGTCCTTGGGTCCCTTGAAGTAGTTTATTTCTACTTCTTAGTCTATTTTAAAAAGTGTTTTTAAAAAGTTTTTTTTATATATCTTTTTTATTGTTCTATTGATTTATGCTAAGCTAAAACGCTAAAAGTTTGTTGTTTATTGTTTGTTTT